AGCCTGTTACAAATTTCCTTCTAAAATAGTTACAAGAATTTTGTGTTAGATCAAGAGGACAACTGCTATCTGATACGTTTGAGTATTTTCATTACCTGTTACTGGATAGGGAATGTTTATATACAGGGAGAAGTTACATGTTAATCACTTCTGGGAATTAATGGCTTCATCAAGACTTCGTTCACTCTCACAGTTGTTTCTCTCCTATTTTGTAAATCTGATCACCGCAAAAGTTTTATTTTGTGTAATTACGGAGTGCTGCAGGCGAGAACGGCTGTGACGAATTTGGCGGTACACTTTAAGTCATTTAGTTTGTATTTCACTGTCAAAACTATCTCAAAACTATCTCAAAACTGAATATGGAATGCAGCGTTAAATAAGAAATAAAAATTTTAAAAATTAGTCGTCGTCGCTCGCGTTCTCCTGAAAACGCCAAGTTTGGTCATTTTGTTGTTTTGCAGAGAACTCAAAGAAATTTACAAGCATTTATAACGCACGTGCACAGCCATTGTTTTGCTCATCAAAACTTTTGTTCAGTGACGTTGCCGTTGCCTTTGCCGTCATTGTTTTCTTAAACTCCTTAATAATAAGCACTTCTAGAAACATTCATCATTGTAAATTGCGAACAAATTTTGGATCCTAGACTTAAACATGACCATAGTTTACGACTCGACCTCGTCATTTATTAAATTCGTCGTTTGTTAGTGTCGCCGTCATAAAATAGCAAACAAGCTTAGGATTAACTTGATGCCAAGCAAACCAAGCGAAATGCTAGACACACGAGAAAAGAATTATTAAAATTATAAACTCACCTTTATTGGCAGCTTATCACGGGAAGCAGTGATTTGCGCTCCCTTGCCACTATATATCCCTCTTCTTTGAGTTTTCTCAGCAGTTTTCGTGTATTTTATCGCGTGTGCAAGGCTCACACAAGCAGCGAGACCGTACTAATAAACTGCTTAATCATTAGAATTTTGCCCATTATTGAGGGAAATTCACAAGTTTGTATGACGCACGTGGAATGGGTAAAGCCGGTGGAATTGTTTAAGAATGTATAGGTTAGTTTCGCTTACTTTCTAAATTGCTTAATTCTTGCCTGGGTTTGAAATAAAGCTGTAGCTATTTTTTTTGTTTTTGTTTTTTTTTTGCAACATGACAGACGTTAGAAAAGGGGAGGAAAATTTTCAACCCACGAGATAGGAAACACATCGGCTGAATGTTTTAGGAAGAAATCATTTACTTCACTACCAACCCTTTAACTTCCATGAGTGACCAAGATAGAATTTCTCATTACAATATCAATACAATTTCAAGCAGACTAGTGATGGGAATATAAAAAAGTGTAAATTAGGGGATTATTAGTTGATCCGATAACAAATCCTCTGAACTAACATCATAAGAATTGTAAAGAAGACAGTAAGGAGAATTGCTAATCAGATCTTAGGAGTTAAAGGCTGATAAATAAGTACCGCAAATCCTCCACTAAGCTCCCGGGGGGGCTTATTTATTTCAGGTACTTTGTGCGGGTGGCTTAATAGTGTGGGAGGGGTGAGAGGGGCTTGTTAATTTAAAACTCAATAAAGAACTCAATTTTATGATCTAACTCTCTCAATGGACCTCGTTTAGCCATGTTATATTTTAAGCATCGCTCTGTAATTTAAGTACACTGTATTCTATTGAAGCGGTAAAAATCTTTGTCGATGACTGCAATGAGAATTCAGCAAAATCAAAAACTGCACGAGCTCAAGTTGCAGTTCCCGTAAATTTACGATTGGCAAATGCAGCGAATGACTTAAGCAGGGTGGAACAATCAACTATTCCTCTCAAGAAACGCAAAGTCCTCCAGGGGGCAGTTAGTTTGATACAAGGCAACGGTGTATCTGCGAAAGGTTATTCCCTTGCTCGAATAGAGTTGGGTATAGATTTACCAAGAGACGCTGACATGGTATTTTTTATTTTAGTTAAGCCGAATATTATTACATTACACACACACACACACACATATATATATATATATCTTATCAACCAAGCGCGAGGGCCTTACTGGGAGAATATCGGCCCGAGATCTTGACAGTACGGACCAAGCGCAGCGAGGTCCGTACAAAAAAGACCGAGGGCCGATATTCTTCCAGTACGGTCCCGAGTAAGCTTGGTTAATAAGAGATTTATTATACGACTGAAGTTCAAAGGGAAACAAGTGCGGTACCATTCGGGACCATTCGGGACAGTGCCCGGTCCAATACTGAGAGAATATTGACCGGCAATAGAGAATTTTGATTGGTTAATTTTAGTTATTGGCCCTCTGACTGCCTGAGTCGTGTAATAAAGAGCATTATTGCCAATTCAATGAATTAAAATTGTCTAAGATCTTCCTTGCTTCCTTCATATAAGAATTGATGATTCTTTCTATAGTCTTTTGTTTTTCATTGAACAGCTTCTGGTAGCCTCTGACACAAGATCGAAGAGCAATATGGAGACAGCTTCCCAGCAAACTGAACGTTACAAGACAGTGCAAGCCATCAACGCAGACTACCGTAACACAGGTTACGACAGGGGCCACCTCAATCCAAACTTCTACCAATGTGGCAACGGAGGAACAGCAACGTTTACCTTAACAAACGCCGTTCCTCAAGACCCTTGCTTCAACCAACAGTCGTGGAAGAAAATGGAAGAGGTAACTCTTCAAACAATGAGGACCAATTGCTCTTTTGCTGGCGCCAGACGCTATTTTGTGACAGGAACTGTTCAACAGAGAACACGAATTCCAAACAGAGAACATGACTTGGAAGGAGACGTGGCTAACAGAGATTTCAATCGAGTCACCGTCCCAGTTACCTCTGGACAGCTGTTTGTTGCGATGCTTCAAACTCAGCTAATCGCGACAATGGGTTCTCATTTGCTTACATCGGAAAAAATGTCGCTGACTCTTACGTGGACATCCTTAGCGTAAGTGAACTAGAGGCAAGACTTACTAGTAATGACCTTGCCCAAGATCGTTACCAAGCGGCAAAAATCTTTGTAGATGACTGCAATGAGAATTCAGCAAAATCAAAAACTGCACGAGCTCAAGTTGCAGTTCCCGTAAATTTACGATTGGCAAATGCAGCGAATGACTTAAGCAGGGTGGAACAATCAACTATTCCTCTCAAGAAACGCAAAGTCCTCCAGGGGGCAGTTAGTTTGATACAAGGCAACGGTGTATCTGCGAAAGGTTATTCCCTTGCTCGAATAGAGTTGGGTATAGATTTACCAAGAGACGCTGAAATGCTAGAGAGGGCTAGAAATGCAATGTACTCCAGTGGAGCTAGTTTATTGCTGTATAACGCTAAGGCACCCCTGCCGCTCCTAAACCGCGATAAACCCGGGATCGTGGCAAGTGGGCACAATTCTTCCAGCTTACACCATGTAGCTCCCAACAGAAACATCAAGAACAAGAACAAGTACAAGAGCAATAAAGAGGGACCATCTTGGCTTTCCTATTTCAAATTTCGACCGAGAGAACCCAAGTTAAGTGAAGTCGATGACGTTCAGCGGCAACGCTCGAACGACCAAGCTTCTCCGCCACCGGTTGACGAGTATTTGATTGTCCCAAATCTTGCAGCAGATGAGTCAGATGTCACAATTCAAGGCAAGCGCTGCATAGATTCAACTTGCGGTTTTAATGGCAAGAAGGAGAAGTGGTGCTACACTGACTGGGCGAAATCGGCGGAGGCCAAATGCTGTTTTACCCAATGTAAGTTTAATGGCGGAAAGGATCATCAGACTTGCCAAACAAACAATACCAAGTCCACCGAGACCTCGTGTTCAGTCAGATATTCTTCCATCAATGTGAAAGGCCAGCGCTGTTTGGCTGAACATGAATGCGGCCTCCATGGGTACAATTACTACTGGTGCTACATAGACTTGGACAAGAACTGGGATTACTGCTGCCAACCCTGGCACGTTTGTGACACGCATAAATACAGCTACAAATGGTGTTATACCGGCAAAACAAAAGAATCGAAGGACCAGTATTGTAGCTATTAACA